ACCAGAGCTCCTATCTATCTATCTAACTATCTATCTATCTATACACACACACACATATATATACATACATACATACATATGTATGTATGTATATAAAAATACGCAAATCCTGTTCTGCTGGAGTTTATGTTCTTGTGGGGGCTGGTTGAAAATAACAACATAGAAAGTAGTATGTTAAAGGGGATAAGTGCTAGGGGAAATAACTGAATAGGATAAGGGAGGTGGGTATATGCAGTTTTAAATAGGGCTTTCAGGGTAGGCCTCATTGAGAAGGTAAATTTGAGCAAAGACTTAAGGAAGTGGACATCTAGGGGCAAAGAATGTCAGGCCAGTGCAAGGTCCTGAGGTAGAATATGCTTGGTGTATTTAATGTACAGTTCTTTTCATATGCCCTGAAACTCACCTGCAGAGGAATGAGATGAACCAGGTTAAGTAAAAATAACCTAATAGAATAATAGTTACTGTTTATACTTCCTAGGTTCTAGGTACTTCATGAAACATTTCCTCATTTAATTCTTACAACACTCCTGTACAATAAAATGTTTATCCCTATATTACATATGGAAAAATAGACCCAGAGAAATTTGGTTGTCTACTCATTTCAAACTCAGATTTGTCCTACTCTACAATTTATATTCTTTCCAACACCTCACTATAAAAAATTAAATATATCACTTTCTGAGCATCTGCTGCATACTTGTTGTCTGGTGCTGTCAAGTTGACTCCAACTCATGTTGTTTTTGGTATGTGCTGTTGAGTCAGACCTGACTCATAGTGACCCCCCCCTTGGGTTTCTGAGGCAGTATCACTGCGGAAGTAGATTGCCCAACCTTCCTTCTGAGGAGTGGCTGCTGGGTTTGAACTGCCAGCCTTCTGGTTAGCAGTCAAGTGCCTTAGGCATAACGCAAGTCATAGTGACCCTATATACAACAGAATGAAACATTGCCCAGTCCTATGCCATTCTCACAGTCCTTGCTATGCTTCAGCCCATTGTTGCAGCCACAGTGTCAATCCATCTCATTGAGGATCTTCCCCTATTTTGCTGACCCTATATTTACTAAGCATGATATCCTTCTCCAGGGATTAGTCTCTTCTGACAACATGACCAAAGTTTCTAAGGACCATTCCAGCTGCACTTCTTTCAGGACAGGTTTTTTGTTCTTCTTGCAGTCCATGGTATTTTCAGTATTCTTCACCAACACCACAATTCAAAGACATCAACTTTTCTTTGGTCTTCCTTATGCACTGTCTAGCATTCACATGCATAGGAGGCAACTGAAAATACCACTGGCACCTTAGTTTTCCCTTGCAGCAGATTTGCCCAGTGCAATATGTTGTTTGATTTCTTGACTGCTGCTTCCATGGGTGCTTATTGTGGATCCAAGTGAAAAGAAA